GTGTCTAATGCAGACTCCTTGTGAGAGGTCAGTCCACATACTTCTTCAAACTTTTTTGTTACCCATACCCCAAACTTATCCTAAGTATCCAACCACTTGGGTAAATGAATTGTTGCAGATCTTTACTTCAGGCCATTTCTCCTTTAGGCAACTGGATAATGAGTTGCACTCTCAGAACTTTTCCCAGTGGGATTTCTTCATTGTGCTTAAGGGTTCCCCTTGAGAAGAGATAAAACATTACATTACTTTCTTATGGCAGATGTAAGCATTACATCAATAACCATCTAAAAACTTGGCTAAGATTGTTTTCCTCTCAAATAGCCTTACAGCATTCCTGATAAGCCATAGTTGTGTGTGTAGAGAGAGACAGAGGAATCAAAAGAAACACTACCTCTCTTCAATTGGAATTATGAACTGGCTGTTTTGCAAGACCCTTGTGCCTTCAGAAACCACCCAGGCACAATTTCTGTAAAAATTAACTCTACTTGATGTTGAAGTGTTACAGGATAAATCCAACCTCAGGGCCAGGAGGGCTGAATGACACCTAACTCATGATGGGTGGCTCCTCATATACAAAACAAAATGACAAAAAGCTATTTCTAATTTCTGCAAAGGAAAATGCTTGTCAAAGAAGGCATAACTTTATTCTCAGATCTTAAGTGTTATCTTCCAAAAGATGCCTCCAGAGCCTCATGACTCTTTTTTAACTATTCTAGAAATCAAGATATAGAATTTGTCCTTCATTTTGGCATTCTGAGGACCACTAGACTAGACCCCAGGAAAGTTCACTGAATGGCAGGCCTCTGTGCTTGTATGGGAGTAATCTCTGGCTATCTGAGATGAGTAAGTCTTACCAGGCATCGACTGTATTATTCCTTTTTTATGTTTCTCTCTCTCAAGTTAAATGTCGTTAATGACATGTGCAATATTAAAGTGCTCTAGGTCCCTTTAATTTATTAATTCATGCAGCAAATGGTTACTGGGCACTTATTCTGTGTCGAGCTCTTTTCTTGGCACTGTTGAGACAATAGCAAACAAAGCCAGGTCCTTGCCCTCATAAAGCTAACATTCTAGCAAAACAGACAATAGCTATAATATAAATAATATTATACTACATCATGGTAAGTAGTATTTAAAAAATAAAGTAGAAGAAGGGGGCAGATAATGAAAAGTGATGCTATACACAGGGTAGTCAGGGAAGCCCATTTTGGCAATGTAACATTTCAGAAGACATCAAAAAGAAATGAGGGAGTGTCTAGCAATTCCAAGGCCTGGGGAATGATATATGCAAAGGTCAAGTGGAAGCTGGCATGTCCAAGAAATGGCAAGGGGTCGATGTGACTGGCAATTAAATTAAGCAAGGAGTAGCAGATAAAATGGGAGAAATGGCGAGGGGCCAGGTCATATAGGGCCTTTCAAGCCCAAATAGGTCCTTAGAATTTTATCTAAGTAGGATATAGGGAGAATTTAAAGTGTTTTATGTAGTAGCATGAAATGCTCTATGTTTTGAAAGGATCGTTCTAGCCACTGTGTTTAGGATAAGGGCAGAAGAGGATTACAACTTAGGAGGCTATTACAATAGTTCAGGAAGGATATGATGGTGAAAATGGTAATGCATAGTCCTTTTCTTAGTCAGTTGAGGCTGCAAGAACAAAAATACTATAGACGGGATGGCTTAACCAACAAACATTTATTTCTCACAGTTCTGGAGGCTGGGAGGTTCAAGATCAAAGTGGACCAGATTCGGTGTCCAGTGGGGACCTGCTTCTTAGTTCATAGGTGGCCCTGTTCCCTCTGTGTCAGCACATGAAGGAAGGGGCAGGAGAGTTCTCTGGGGCCTCTGTTATCAAGGCAATAATCCCATATAAGGGCTTCACTCTCCTGACCTAATCACCCCCAAAGGCCCCACCTCCTAATATTATCGTATTAGGGGCAAGGAGTTCAACGTGAATTTTAGAGGTACACAAACATTCAGTCCATAACAGTCATATTTGGAATATATTTTGGAAAAAAAACCAACAGGATATTGAGAGTGAGAGAAAAGGAAGCCAATGACACCAAAGCTTTAGACATAACAACTGAGTTGATTTTGGTACCATTTACTGGAAGGGAAACTCTGGACAGGAAAAGTACATTTGGGGGTCAGTTTGGTTTTGGACATGCTAAGTTTGATTTGTTTATTACAAAGTTGCTGGAAATGTAGAGTTGGAGGTTTGATATGTGCATCTGGAGTTCAGCAAAAAGGTAACAATGGAAATGTACATTTAAAATAACAAAACCAAGCACCACATGTACTCACCATCAAATTGGTTTTAACTAATCAACACCTAAGTGCACATATAATAATAACATTCATTGGGTGTTGGGTAGATGGGAGGGGATGGGTATATTCACACCTAATAGGTGTGGTGTGCACCATCTGGGGGATGGACACGCTTGAAGCTGTGACTTGGGTGGGGCAAAGGCAATATATGTAACCTAAACATTTGTACCCCTGTAATATGCTGAAATAAAAAAGAAAAAAATAAAATAACAAAATCATATAAGATTACTTGGGAGGTGAGTGAAAACAGGGAAGGGGCTGTCAATGTAGAGGCCATTTGCAATATTCATACTAATGGTTTCCATAGAGTGACGATGATAAAAAGCCAACTAAATTGAGCTCTGGTGAGAAAGGAAGCAGAAAAAGTGGAAATATTAAGTAGGAAATAAAAAACTGTTTCAAGGAGTTTTTCTGTAAAACTCTTTAGGCTTTTCAGGAATGAGGGGAGGATTCTTTCTAAGATGACAGCTATAAAAGTATGTCTATCTGTAGGCTGATAGTATTGATCAAGTAGAGTGGGAAAATTAATGATGCAGAGGAGAGGAGGAGTAATTTCAAGAGCAAGATCCTTAGGATCTTATGCACAAGTGAAGAGGATGCCATAGATAAGAGATCTCTGCAGATCAGATGGTTATGATTACAATGTTAGACCTTCTCCATGTTGTTAACCCAAATAATTTTGTCACCAGTGGATAAATACCACTATTGCTTGTGCTTGGCTTGTTCTGTGGACGACTGGGGAGTAGGTGGACATAGTCAATAGTCTCCAAATAGATTTCTTCAGTGCTCCCACTGATTCTGTCATCTTCCCAGCCTCGCTGTGATAAAATTCTTTTCTGCTTAGATCATTCAGAGTCCATTTCTCTTGCTTGAAACTAACACCCACAAATAACATAGAATCTCAGATAACCCTATTTTTCCCATTAAACATATGAGATTACTGAGGCTGAGAGAAGTTAAGTAACTTACCACATATTACACTGTTAGCAAGTGAGACTCTGGTCTCATCCAAATGATTCTGATTCTGAATCACGAGGCTAGACACCCTCAGAAAACACAAAGGTGAAATAATGAAAGTGAAGATTCCTACCTGATATGGCAGGACCAATGTAGACCAAAGAAAGGCACAATATACGTATTAAAAAAGTTAGGTTTCACAGGGGCGGATTCCAAACACCTAGCTTAGCACATGAGTCACATTAGGCACTCAATAAATATTACTTAAATATAACATATATTATAAGAATTATGTATATGTATTATCATGGTGTATATATACAAAATGTATTATTCCTTCCTTCTTCTGAATTCTTACACATTGTGATAGAAGGAACTCTAAGGGTCTAATGAATATAACATTTATATCATCTTTCCTTCCTTTCAAACAGCTTTTAATCACCCTTAATTTCCCATGCTTCCAATATGAAGCAATACACTCCAATTTTATACTCTATAAATACCCTTTGGTGGCATGTTTTATGTATGTTTTTGTTAATGAAGATAATAATGGGAAAAGGACTTTATATCTTTATCTTGCTATCTTTCTTCAGAGTGTCACTGGCCTTTATGTGTCTTCTTTTAAAGGGATTATTGTTAAGTTTTTGCCTAAATCTCTAAAGATCTCAGAACATAGTCCATGGTGCTTGGTTGACTGACACCAAGTTAAAATAGTAGAATTTGTGTAAACCACAACATTCTTGCAGCAGTCAAAGAGCATCAGGGATCTAGATCCCTGAAAAATCTTAGAGGCATACCCAGATCAATTTAAGGACCTTTTCCCATTCCACTCCAAACCCGGGCAACTCTAATACAGTCATTGCGTGATAATATCTCTTCTCAACACTCTCTTCAGAGCCTTAGCTACATCTTTATTCCGAAGAGTATAAATCAGAGGATTCAGTGTGGGAGTAATGATGCTGTATAACACAGAACCAACTTTGTCTTGCAGCAGAGTGCGCTGAGACCTGGGCCTCATATATGAGAAGATGCCCGTGCCAAACCAGAGGGAAACAACAATGAGGTGAGAGCTACAAGTGGCAAAGGCATTTTTCTTACTCCCAGCTGAACACATATGAATGACACTGTGGAGGATGAAGGCATAGGAGGTAGAAACCAGTATGATAGGGAGGAGGAGAAGGAGGATACCACTGATATACACTGTGGTCTCATAAACAGAGATGTCACCACATACCAATTTCACAACAGCTGGGAACTCACAGTAGAAGTGGTGGATTTTCCGGGCCCCACAGAAAGGGAAGCGCATCAAGGTCACTGTGTGAATGAGGGAGTTCATGGATGCCCCTAACCACGACATAGCAGCCATCATCAGTCCCACCTTTCTGTTCATGAGCACAGTATAACGCAGTGGCTGGCAGATGGCGACATAGCGGTCATAGGACATGAGAGCCAGGAGAAGACACTCCGCACCACCCAGGGACAAGTAGAGGAAGTGCTGGGCAGCACAGCCCACAAAGGAGATGGACTTCTTGCCCGAGAGGTAGTTGGTAGCCATCTTGGGGATGGTTGTGGAGACGTGCATCAGGTCCATGAGGGAGAGCTGGCTGAGCAGGAAGTACATCGGTGTGTGAAGCCTGGGATCAGTGCAGATGAGGAGAATGGTGAGAGTGTTGCCACTGACTGCAACAAGGAAAACCACCATGGTCAAGGAGAAAAGGAAAAGGTGGGTGAGAGAGTCATCAAAGAGCCCCTCAAGGAAGAAGTCAGCCAGATCAGTCTGATTCCTCTGCCACATGTCCCCTTTCTCAGTCCCTGGGGAAACAGAGAGAGGAGATGAAGGGTGATTCCAGAAATGCTGGGGTCCAGAATGTCTGAGAAAAAGCACTTTGGATTGGAGGAAGAATTCATGAAAAGAGTATTTTTTTCCATTTCGAATTATGCAACAGCTATAATGATTGAAATGACATTTTTTTTGAAAAAGAGGAAACTTAAAATCTGTCTTCACAAGCATGATCACTCTGCAATTCCAGAATTCTATACTCTATTAAAAGTGACAAACTTCTAGACTCATCTTATTAAGGAAAAACACGCATGTGTGTGCATGCGCACAGGGGCATGTATATGTTTATATATATTCACACACACACACACACACACAGAAACACACACACACATAGGTTTGGGAGGGTTTGCGGGCAGTTTCAGGGGTGTTGGGGTTTTACTGGGGGGGTGTTGCTTATTTTCTCAGTGAGGGTGTAACCAAAGAATCTGAACAGCTTCTACGTATACATACACATGTAATAAATTTTGTTAGGAACTTTGGCCTTACACAGTTGTGGAAACTGATGAGGCAGTCTGTGTAAGGCTGTCTCACTTTTGTGTGTGATGCTGGAACTTGAATTCCAAGGGGCAAGTGGTCAAGAAGCAAAGCTGGATGTAAAGAGGGGCCAATAAAGGGCAGGCTGGAACCCACAAGCATGAGCTGTAACCCCCAAGGGGAGACTGAAATCCATGTCAGTTCTTGTTGCCTCTGCAACTGGTGGTGTGGGTATCTTGCGGGAGCTGGGGCTCCTCTTAATGGCGCTGAATGCACACATCTGGACCGGAGGTCAGAGGAGCTAAAGAAGGACCCAGGGGCCCATAAAGCAGCTGCAAGCCCTGCTGCTGCTTCACACCACTGAGGTGAGTTAGCAGATCAGTAACAACTGTGTAAAAGGCAAAACAGCTGCTTTCCTTCTGCCCTTTAAATCTCTCAAGAATCTCTTCTTGGCCACCTTAACTAGAAACACACGAAAATAAGAATTCTGGGAAAAGTAGTTCATCCTATCCAAGCCACCATCTTCTGTCAATTTGGCACACATACACATCTCCTTAAGTTACACTTAATCTCTAAATAAACAGAACAAATTCATCCTTCTAACATGATCCAACCACTTGCACACAATGAAACACATGCTAACTTTTTCCTCAGAAGAAAATACAAAGGTAGATTTGGGGATTTTTTCTTTGTTTGTTTGCCTTTGGATGATGTTCGTTCTTCCCCTGAGTCATATGTCCCATTTTATATTTTGTAACTTAAAACAAAAATATTTGATTCATGTATACATAAAATATTCCTATAAAAGCAAAGAAAAAGTAATCATTACTATTATCTATAGAATAGATCATCCTACACAAGTGCCAACCCATTCCTTGGATGTCAGCCCCCTTTTCCCCAGTCACTCCTGTCATTGGCCAATGGACCCATGTACAAAGCAGCCATGGAAGCATGGATAAAGATTTTGAATGGCTTCAGTAACATGAAACACCCACCAAGGCCAATCTGGCTACAGCTGCTGCTGAGTGCCCAACGTGCCAATAGCTGAGACCAACACTGAATCCCCAAGATGGCACCCTTCCTGGGCTGATCAGCCAACTACTTGGTGGCATATTGATTACATTGGACCACTTTCAACCAGGAAGGGACAGTGTTTTGTTCTTACTGTAATAGACACTTACTCTTGATATAGATTTACCTTCCAGACCTGCAGTGCTGCTGCCAAAACTACCATCTGTGGATTCATGAAATGCTTTATTCACCATAATGGTATCCATGCAGCAATGCTTCTGACCGATGAATCATTTCACAGCAAACAAAGTGTGGAAATGGGCCCCTGATCATGGAATTCACTGGTCTTACCTTAGGTCTTCTATCATCCTGCAACTGGCATCACAGAACCGTAGAATGGCCTTTTGAAGATCAGCTAGTTGGCAACACTTGTACTATTGAGGCAACATCCTCCAGGATTTGGTGTATGCTCTAAATCTGCATCCAATTTAAGGTGCTGTTTATTCCATAATGAGCATTCACAGGACCACGAATCAAGGGGTAGAAAGCGTGAGTTCTCTCACTATATCCTATATAACTGTGACTCACCAGAAAAATATCCGTGTCCTGTCCCTGCACTTTGAGGTCCTGCACTTTTAGAGATCTTAGTTCCAATGGGAGAAATTCTTCCACCAGGTGTCACAACAGTGATTCCATTTACTTAGGGTGAAGACTACCACCGTGCCATTTTGGGCTCCTCCTAGCACTGACTCAAGACAAAGGTTTGTCTATTGTCTGGTCAGACTGATCCTGACCTGCAAAGGGAAGCTGAGTTACTACTTCACAATGCAGATAAGAAGGAGACACCTGGAGTCAGGAGATTTTCTAGGGTGCCTGTTTGTACTCCCATGTCCAGGGATGTAAGTAAATAGAAAACAACCCAATTCATAGAGGACTGTTAGTGGCCCGGGTCCTTCAGAAATGAAGGTTTAGGTCACCCCACCAGACAAGGAACTGTGACCAACTATAGACGAAGGGAATATGGAATGGGTAATGAAAAAAGGTAGTTATAAATACCAGCCGTAAACATGTAAGCAGCTATGAAAACAAAACCTGTAATAGTTATGGGCATTTCTTCCCTATTTTGTATATGTACGTGTGTGTACACACGTACATATACTGATGGTTTTTCCTTCATCTTCTTTGACATTGCCTTATCTAACATAAGAGGTATTAATTATAGTTAACTCATATCTCAGTATTTAAGTTATGGGATGTAATAGGGAGAGTATAAATAAGACAGGAGTAGAATGAATTTTACCCAAGACAAAAGTAGGGATTCTATATCCTTTTATAGGGAAAGGGGTTTTATATCTTCTTCTTCTTCTTGGAATAAGGTTAGCATATTTTTGGTTGTACATGGAATAGTTGTATCAGGTAAAGTATAAGCATAACGTTGGCATTGTCTTTATTTGGAGATGAAGTATGATTTAAAAAGTGACATATATGGTACCAAGGTGACACATAACAAAGCCACCATACTTATGTACCTGAAAACCAACCAGAAATATGCCTCAGATAGACTTGAGAGCCTTCAAATTATGAATCAGCCTGATAAAACTGGATTGTAACATTGAATCAGTCAAACTTCCCAATCTGCCCTGTATTCAGTTCTCACATGAATACTGATCAGAATGAGAGCTTGATCTTCATGGTGAAGCATGACTCAAAAAAATTGATCCTCCAAATATACACCCTATCCTTCTTGATGATTTTCCTATTAGACATCTCATTAGACGTTCATGCATTGCAGATTACCTACTAACTTTTTACAGCAAAGAACTCTGATTGAATGCACTCTTTAAAGTATAATTCCATTAGTAAGAAAGAGGTCACATCTGTTATCTTTTTTCCCTACTAATGCAGCCTATGGTCTCATCTTTCTGGCTCTCACCTCACACTGGTATTTCATACTCAGCTTCTTATCAACTAAAAGCCAAACTTCCCCCACTCCAACCCAATCAAGACATTCACACACTTCCCTTTTATCAAGTATCCATATACTTTCTAACTCTTTCTTCATTAGTATCCATCTTTCTCTTAATCTCTGTAGTGTACATTTTTCACCATCTGACCCATGTCTCTCTTCCAACCTCAGCAAGTTTCCTAATAATTTCCCATTCTGATTTGTGACCCTCACGTGGCTTTTTTTCTCTGCCTTCTCAGGAAGCTTTCTTCATGGACTGACCAAATATCACCCTCTGACTGAAGGGATAAGCTGACAATACCCTAGTTTCTAATAAAGTTTCCTAGATATCTCAAGCCCCATCATTATCTTACCTGGAATTCATCTGCAGAGACTTGTGGGTGGACAAGTATAGATGTGAAATGGAGAAGGCAAGATAGGTCCACACTGACCCACAGCTTGGCTAGCGATGACCAAAACAAGCCTTTGCTGAGGTCCTCATTAGTCTTCCTTTCCTAAGCCTGGAAATCTCCATTTACTGGTGAAATGGCATGGAAGGTATTGCCCTGACACAATCATCCTTGCTCGCACTAATTACCCCAGTGAAAGAGCATCACCAGGAAAAACAGGACATGTGCATGTTCAGATTTTCACCTCCATCAGCACATACCATGAAGGATTAAGTACCTGAACTTCTTTAGCCTCTATTAATTAGGCCTTGGAATCATGCATATGCTTCCGCTGTCTCTAAATATATATTTGAGCCAAACCGCCATCCCAATATGAAAGGTTGGCCAAAAAAATTTCCATTAATGTTACTTTATTAAGAAGGTAAATTTAATACAAGTTTAATCATCAGTATGTTCAGATGCAAAGGAAAATCTCTTTTGGGTTTTCTGTTGTTTTGGATCACTCAAGGTACTCTCTTCTTAGCTTTATAGCTCCTTCCCTACTTCATAAGATATAAATTTGGCTTGTGTAGTCATAAGACCTGCAGAGTCTTCCTGACTATATAAATGTTTCATCAACAGTAATCACAGTGGCTAGAATGAGAACAGACTTCGTCTGATGTGAGCCAATCATGGAAAAGGAGCACCATCTTCGAGAGAGAAAACATCCTCTAATCTAGAGGACCTATGATGTCAGCTGAGGCGAATTGAGGACACTAAATAGATGGCATCAGGGATTCCGACCCAGAGGACACATCTTGGATCCTTTCTGGAGACCATTACTCAAGACACCAATTAGATTGTGCTGTGTTCATTGACATAAGCATCCCCAAAGGGCTTTACTTGAAGTTTGTAGGGGTCAGAAGAATGAGATTTTGCGGGAATGTGCCTGTAAGGATAACATGGGAATATTTTCTCCAGGGACCAACTAACTGTAGAGACAAACAATCCCTACAGTCTCTCGATTGTTTTTCATTTTAGAACCCGGCTCTCTCTAGCCCCTTTCCACCTAACCAGTTTGAGAAGATAGTCTGAGAAATACTCAGTCTCTCTTGCCCACAGGACGCTTTTGA